ATGAAGCTGGAGGCATGACGATCGATATATCAAGACATTGCGCTTTTGATTCGAGTAAAATCTGCGTTAAATAAGCAAAGCACACCCGTTTAAGATGGAAATCAGCCCTTTTCAATAAATATCGTGAGCGTACGCAAATTGTATTCTCCTTCTGCTGACAGTCCTTTTTGGAAGATTTAATTTCCGTTGATAGCTTTATATCATTTAACCTTTGGTGGTGGTCTCTCTGAAGGCTACACATGAATTCCCGTTCTCTTCGACATCTTTTGGAAAAGGCTGCTTCTGCTGAAGGTCTTTGACTTCTTTCTTTTTATGACTAAAGCCAGGTGTTTGATGTTGCCACAAAGTTAGCACTATCCACTTCGTTCGATGGCTACGTTTTGCCACGATAAGTTCATCTAACTTGCCTGTGTTATAGGATGCACTGAACTGAAGAAAAGTATTGTTTATGTGTTATATTCGTTCCTCCACGATTCAGCCGACGTTTCAAGCTGGCTTACCTGTCCTGGTTAGTTAATGTACTGATTCAGAGTATTTTTTATTTGTTACAGTTCTAACCAACTTGGTTCGGTGTCATGTAGGTCATTTGGCATTGTAGTCGTAAAGCGTGCATGCTCTGACATGACTTCACTTCAGAGTATCAGGCAGTCTGTGTTATTTGCAGGTCAGCGACTTGCCACCCGTGCATCAGCTGACTGCTCCGGAGCCTAGTAATATAATAATCGAAAGAAACTTGACTTCTTCAGATATAAGAGCAGCGAAGGAAAACATTTATTTGAAATACTTAAGCACAACAAATCCCTGTTTTAGTGGGATCAGCATTCGGCTGGAGTTTCGAACGTTCATCAGCCAAGTAATGAAACTCATCGACTTCTTTACTTTTGTAAAGGAATACATGACACAGTACAGTAAGATAGTTTATAGTTTATTCACGTCATCAAAATACCTACGAACCGAACGATTTTCTTCCACTGCGCACATATACCTTGCGTACGAGATGAAAGGTTTATGGTTGGTCAAAACTTGATCCTAGTTTTATCCGCTGTATGTTTTTGTGTATACAAACTTATGATGAACAATTTTCTGAGCAACAATGCTGGATATCAAAGAGTGGTTAGATGACACCATTATAGGAGAAACAACTTTTCTCAGAAAATAACTTTGCCTCTGAATCCTTAGCCTTATTATATTCCTGCTTGATGGAAACCTCCTCTCATTTTCTTTTCCTCTTGAAAACCCATTGCTTTTGATGAACGACTTATATTCAACCAGTTTCATCAAATACTTACGTTCGACAAGTATATTTTTTGTTTGTATTCATGATCTTTTTAACAGAAGTAGGGAGTTCGTCCAGAGCAACCTTTAGGCGAGGCAAATACCACCGTGTATCATTAAATCCCATAGTCACCATGCTATTTATCATAGCTCTATTTATAGATACGTTGTTCTAATAGAATTTGTGTACTCAGAGGAACTTTCCCAAGCTAAACCATGAACTCACGTCCAGTTAAGCTTCGTCATTAAAAAGGGAGTGTGCGAAGGAAGACGTCTCATATTTAAACCTACCTCACAAACGGTTCGCTACCACGACATTCAGAGAGTTAGAAACTTGTTCTAGGTTTAACAGTGAATGCTCACCCGTTGATATTTTGTTAAATTGTCCAAAAAGCAAAACAGATGCATTTTTAAGTGTAATAAATATATGCCGATATTTATATGCTTAATACGTACATATCTTACAAACTTCATTCGGCAACATGTACATTTTGCAAAAAGAGTGAATTTTGCTTTTTAACATTTTTTATTAAAATTCTGTATGCCTATCGCCTGAAGGGAGTAAGGTATTTATTTATGTAGTGTTATTGTTTGACTCACATTGAGTAGAAAGTTACGTCATTGAACCATTTGATTAACAGTAAGCGTCACTGTCTTTTTTCCAGCTGCCCAGAACCATTCTCATGCCCGGATAAGAAAGGAGGATGGTTCTAAACCTTCGCCACCTGCCCTTCGTGGTATTGCCGTTATCCAGCGTAATACATGATCGATGCCCCGAAGGTATCGAATGCTCCTGTGAAACTGAGGTATAGTTCGAAAAGTCGGCGAGCAGAGCCTCCTTGACTCCTTCTGACAGCTGGAAGCGTGGCAGCATTATGATGGATGCCGAAGAACGACACGAGGAGACGAAAGTACCAGTCCGAAATGGCACAATGTCATCATAGCACGATAAGATAAGATTCAACCGGAACGATGCCGGCCGTTGAAGTTTTTTAACAGGGTAAAGGCAAGGGTTAGCTGACGTGGCCGCAAGTTTCCGGCTGGACATATAGTTTGTTTCTCCAGCGAACCGTCAGTGCTCTGGGATTCCGAATCTCTGCCGATGGAAGCTATTCTGTTGAGGAGTCGACTCCAGGACTAGCGTTCAGACTTGCGGTATTATTGATCTGGTACTCACAGAATCACTGTGAATAGTAACCTGTCTGCGAAACAGTTGCAGTCCTCTGACTGAAGTGGCGGCAGGCGAAGCCATCGGCCCTGTTAGCAGGTTATGTTTCCAATTCGTATTAAAAATAGGATACCCTCTTAGATAAAATGGAAGGTGCTGTCTACGAAATGCCGACTGCAGTATCCG